TCTCAGTGATAATACACTGGACTCACACAGGGAGAGTCCTCCATTTGTGCCTGGGGGTTTCCCTGACCACGCCAGGTATGTACATACCCATGATCTGGAGGTGAATTATGGTATGAGGACCCTACTGGGGGTGCCTGTCTCCTTGTCTCCCTTTCATGGGAGAAAGAAAGAAACTTTAAAAACATGCCGCTGGTTATGGTGTCATGATTCAGTCTAAGACGACTAAGTGACCACGACTGGGAAGGCACGTACTTCCTAAGCAGCTGTTGAGTTCAGAATCACACAGCCTCAAAGTGGTGACAGGGAGTCCTACCCTGCAGCTCTCAGAGACTCAGGTATCTTCACTCCTTCAAGAGACCTCTTGGGTATGCCTTGAGAAATCTTTTCAGGTCCTAGAATCTGGTCTCCACAATGTTTTATCAGCAGGGTAATTGGTATACTCATCTTTGTATCTGACACATTGACAACTTTCTCAAATAAAACATCTGCATAAAATTCTGATTTTCATCCATAGTTCCAATAAAGTGAGTTCTAAAAGCCTTCCCTAATTGCTATGTCTATCAAAATACCATCAAAAAGCTCCAATTCTCCAGCTCCTTGTCTGATAACTGCATATTTATCCAGTCTGAAATTTCAGTGGCTATGTGGAGCAGTCTAAAGCAGTCAGCTGCTTTTTCTGTAGCCCAGGTGTGGTTTTATCCAAGGATCAGTTTTGTCAGTTAAATTCTGATGAAGTAAAACCACATAAAATAAAACATGACTGAAACAAATGACTTATAACCCATTTCCTCTAGGCTCCCAAATTTTAACCTTGCCTTACTTTTCTCTAAGTTTGGACTGATTGAAGGCATTCCTTTTGGTGACACAGCTTATCCATTAGTGGAAAGTATAGTAGTTTCTACTGTTTTGCTTTACTTGGTTTTGGCTACTTATGATCAACTGCAGTTCAAAAACAGGGAGTACCATACATTAAGAGAGGGGCCAGCAGTTAGCGTAATGGCCGTGTTGCTGAACTCCCATGTAGTCAACCGTGGTTCTAGTCCTGGACCTGGTGGCTTAAACTCACACCGGGTGTGTATGCCATGAATGCCCAAGATCCCGGGAGGAGAAGGGATTGCAGTGTGGTCATCCTCCCTGGTGGGTGATTTCACTTTCTATCTCTCTGTTTCTGTCTGTCTTTTGGGCGAGCACATGTGCCCTATAGCAAAAACCTTTCAAAAAAGAAAAAAAAAGATATTTTGAGAGAGACATTATATAACTTTTGTTATATTTGTTTTATTTTGTTCTTAGTTATTATTGTTAATTTCTTACTGTACCTAACTTATAAATTAAACTCAATCATAGCTATCTTAGGAGAACACATAGCATATACAGGGTTCTGTATTATCTGTGATTTCAGGCATCCATTAGAGGTCTTGGAACACACCTACCTGTGGATAGCAAAGGACCAGTATATACACTAGATCTAATTTATGTTTCCTGGGAACCAGCAGTTAGCGTAATGGCTATGTCGCTGGACTCCCACGTAGTCCACTGTGGTTCGTGTGCCGGAACCCGCGGCTTAAAACTAACGCCGGGCACGTGTGCATGCGTGCCCAAGATCCTGAGAGGAGGATGGAAGAGAAGGGATTGTGGCGTGACCATCCCCCCTGGGGGGTGATTTCTCGCTTTCTGTCTCTATGTCTCTGTCTGTCTGGTGAGCGCACATGCCCTATAGCGAAAACCTCTCCAAAAAAAGAAAAAAAGAGTAATTTGTGTTTCCTTTATGATCATAAAGCCTATTTCTATTTTAATATTGAAAATATCGTATTCTAAATTTTATTAGCCATTTAAAAAAATACCTATTTCACAAGAAATAGAAGATGGGGGCCATTGCAGTGGCCTAGCAGG